GGGCATAAATTAAAAATAAAGTAAAACAATTTTCTAGGATTAATGGGGGCATTTAAAGAATTATAAACAAAAATATTTTTGGAAATAAAATTTTAGATCTTAAAATTTTGTCTGTGCATGAAGATGCTAATATTATGTGAGATAAAGTGGCTAGTGATATTAAAAATATTGTAAAAGATGTCCTTGGAGTATCAAAGGGAAAAGCTCCCAATAGTAAAAATAGTTGGTGGTGGAATCCTAATGTGCAAGAAAAAAATTAAAAATAAGAAGCTTTGTTATAAAAATTGGTTTAATTTAAAAATTCTGATAATTGGGAAATATAAAAGTGACTCGTAAGGATGCTAAGAAAGCAATATGTGATGCAAAAGGCATTAGCTTTTAGTGATTTATATAATAGATTAGATACCAAAGAGGGAGAAAGATATATGTATAAGTTAGCCAAACAAAGAGATAGGAGTAGTAAGGATTAAGTTCAAGTAAAGTGTATTAAAGATGAAGATCAAAAAATATATTTTCTTAGAATATATATTAACAAAGATGGATGAGATATTTTGCTAAACTTTTTAATGAAGATTGTGAAAATAAGATTGACTATAGTGACCTTAGCACCCTAAATGAAAATAAAGATTTATTGTTTTTATCGGCGTATTAGTAAAATTGAAAGTTAGAGAGGCTTTAAAGAAAAAAATGAAGGGTGGAAAAGCTGTTGGACCTGATGATATTCCAATAGAGGTGTGGAAATGCTTAGAAGATGAAGGAATTTCATGGCTTACTAAACTTTTTAATACTATTTGAAGACTAAGAAGATGCCAGATGAGTGGAGAATGAGTGTGTTAATTCTTATTTTTAAGAATAAAGGTAATGTACAAGATTGTGCGAATAATAGAGGTATTAAGAAATGTGTCATACTTTAAAACTATGGAGCGAGTTTTGGAGCATAGGTTGCGGCGTGATACTAATGTTTCTCAAAATCAATTTGGATTCATCCGGGTAGGTCGACTATGGAAGCCATACATTTATTAAGAGGTTTGATGGAGAAATATAGAGAAAATAAGGAGGATCTACATATGATATTTATTGATTTAGAAAAAGCATATGATAAAGTTCCAAGAGAAGTGCTATGGAGAGTTCTTGAAAAGAAAGGAGTCAATAATGCTTATATACAAATCATTAAAGATATGTATGCAGGAGCTATTACTTGTGTTCAAACACAAGGTGGATTGACCAAGTATTTCCCTATTTCGGTTGGGTTACATCAAGGATCAGCCTTAAGCCCATATCTTTTTGCTTTAGTCATGGATGTTCTCACTAACATTTGCAAGAGGATGTACCTTGGTGTATGCTTTTTTGCTGATGATATTCTTCTTGTTGATAAGACTAGAGAGGTAGTTGAAGTAAAACTTGAATTATGAGGTCAACCTTAAAGTCTAAGGTTTCGCTTGAGTAGATCTAAAACGGAATATATGGAGTGTAATTTTAAAGTAATAGACCTAGTGAGGGATTGTGACTTTGGCGCGATCAAGTCATTAAAAAGAACACGTTTTAGATATCTTGGATCTATTGTTCAGAGTATGGTGAAATAGATGGGGATATTATCAGCAGAATTCAAGTTGGATGGTTGAAGTGAGGAATGCATAGGGCTTGTTATGTGATAGAAATGTACCCCTCAAACTTAAGGGAAAATTCTATAAGATGGTAGTGAGGCCTGCAATGCTTTATGGTGCCGAATGTTAGCCTTTAAAAGAGAAGCATAATACTAAGTTAAGTGTGGCAGAGATGAGGATGCTCAGGTGGATGAGTGGTTTACCCTTAGAGATAGGATACGAAATGAGCATATATACGTGAAAAGGTTGGAGTAGCTCCAGTAGAAGATAAGATTAGAGAAAGTCGCCTTAGATGGTTTGGACACATAAAACGGCGGCCTTGCGATGACCCGGTTAGGAGAGTAGAGGTATTAGATTTGACTTATGTTAAGAAATGTAGGGGTAGACCTAAAAAAACTTGGTTAAAAATATTAGGAATTGCCTTTCTTTATTAGATTAAACGAGAATTTGACTTTTAATAGGACACAATGGAGAAAAAGGATTCATGTAGCCGACCCCACGTAGTGGGATAAAGGCTTGATGTTGTTGTTGTTGTTGTACTAATGAATGAATAATATAAAACATAAAAAAACATAAGATATGAAGTAAAATCAAAATTATCCCAATAATAAGACAAATATGAAATATAGTTAAACTCAAAATTCTATCTTTCCCAAATCCCAATATTCTTTTCATTAACATATAATTCAAATTTCCAAAAATAAATAGCAATGACATATCACATAAGAACTCATAAGTCATCAGCACTGTCATCATTAAGGGGTTTTTCATTTGAATCATCAATATGATAACTGCCTCTTCCCCTTCTTCCTCTCCTATAGAGTCCAATATCGGGCATTTACTTCAAGATTTATGTAAGTTTTAATATATATAGCGTGAGGCGTAAGACTCTTGCCAGTGAGGCGAGGCGGGGCTCAAGGTGGGCCTCAATCAAGTTGAGGCGCAAGCCTCATTAAAAAAATTCTAGGCGTAAGCATCGAGGCGTTTTTTACTGGAATTGCGCAAAGGCGGGCCTCAAGGTGAGCCTCATATTGCGCAATTTTAAACCATGCTGAAGAGAATACGGAACTATTTAAGCCATCATCACTAGATGAAGAGGAGAATATGGAAGGGTGATTCCAACCATTAAGGATCTCAATATCAAACTTGGAGGCCCACTACAAGATGATTGTATTGTGGACATGAAAGTCACTTCAAAGCGAGATGGATTAGAAGAGACATTTAAGATACCCCAAAAAGCAACAGTCTTCAAAATAAGCCAAATTGCACTAAAATTAGACACTTCCCCCATTTGCTACTAGTCACGAGAAAGAATGAACCCAAATGAGGGAGTTGTGATCAAGGTGGATCTTCAAGTAGCCCTAAAGTTGGTGAGAAAATAGACCGATGAAAGTTAGCACAAGAACCAAGCAAGTTAGTCCCTTATGATCTATTATGGGTATGAACCACCTTGGATCTAAATCATCTATTTTTTATTGAATTATGTGTTCTTATTCTTTTCCTATATTTTAGGCTTATGAATAAGTTTTTGGTGCATTTAGGAAATAATTTAGACTTCAAATTTTAAGATATACCTTCTACTTGATTCATACAATTAGTTAGGATTTTTATTTTGATTTTTTATTATAAATAGATGATATTTATTGCAATGAATATCATATAACAATTCTAAAATTTCATATTTGAGTTTTCTCTCTCCTCATCGTCCCTCTCTCAACTAACAACTTCTATCTCAAGGACAATAGTTGTTGGGCTCTCTCTCTCTCTCTCTCAAATTTCTAAATAAACAGAGAGCTCTAGAGACGAGGAGGCCACCAAGCAACCAAATTATATTTAGAAAGTTAATGATTGACAAAAATCTGTAAAGAATAATAGTTTTACTACTTTGAAAGCAAATCAATGCTACTAAAGGCGAAATCATAACTGAGAACAAAACAAGAGAATAATTCCTCCACGTACTGGTCCATAATTTCCTATATCAAATACCCAGGACTCTAATGTCATTTTGGTTATTTAATTCCATGGATTTTGGAACATATTGGATATTAATGAATTCACTGAGTCATCAAAATATTTAGCTAAAACAATTGCCAGTAATCTTATAGGTGAAAAAAGAACCTCCTCATATTATCATACAAAAGCAACACTAAGAGATTTGGTGATTGATATGATGAAAAAGCAATGCCTTCCTCCAAATAATAAGTTTTAAATTTAGGATAAATTGAAATTGGTTAGAACCTCGTCTTTTTCAAAAATAATATTTTTTTTCCTAATTTGCATACTTTAACTTGGACTTCAGCTAAAACTCTCTAAGTATGTTGAAGTTACAATCTAAAGTTCACAACCTCATAAGAAAATCTATCTCCAAGGCCCCAACAAACTATTGTGCACTTTCTGCACTAGAGAATAAAGCTTTTTCTGATTTGGCTAGTTTGAAACCTCCATACTTTTCCAAGAACATCAGCTAAAACTCCCCAAAAACTTTAAAGTAACTATCTAGAGTTCACAATCTTATGAAAAATCTACCACCAAGGCCCTCCAACAACCTCAACCCCTCCAAAAACTTCAAAGAAAAACCACAACTTCACCACCGAATAACATACAAAGTTCACGTACAGTGGCTTGAATTATGAATTTAAGAAAGAAAAAGAAAACAAAATGCAGTATGAAACTGCCTGATGATCTACATATTGTTAAACTCGATGGTTTTAACTTTAAAAGGAGAGGAATCATAAAGGAAACTCAAAATAGCGTGCACCCCATTAATCCTAACAAAATGCCTATTACAGATTATCGTTCAGGCAAATGATGTTACGACCCTTTTTGAAGATAAACATTATAAACATAACATGCATGCCTCTTTTAATGAGTTAATTCAATGACTTTCTATTTCTTAGATTAAATATAAACTGGTTAAGCACAAGCCCCATTAATGTTATTTTTAACATATTATTTATATTTCAATTTTCTTTAAATAAAAAGTAATCCAAATTGAAAATCAAATATGTCGAAACCGCTAACTTCAAGTTTCAAATCAGAATAGAAACTCAAAAAATAATGAAAAACCTAGCTAGAGAAATCACGTTCAAAACCATGTAAGCTGCCGCAAGCAAGGGCGCGTGTCAAGGAAAACACAAACCCAGAATTCCAGCATGAGAATTTGAATTAACTAAATTAGTGAAGCTTATAAAATCAACTATTTGATGTTGCGCATCGCCTTTTGAGTGCGACGAAAACCCAATTCATTCCGAACCTTTTCGCCAATTCATATCATCCGTACTTGATTTGTTTACACCAGCACTTCCTTATATCGATCTCTGTGTTTAAGGAATTTAAATTATACAGTTTCTATTACCAAAGCTTGTACATGGCTTCGGGGGCGAGTGGATGACTAACCTGAATCAATTCATCCCCGGCAACGGCGCAAGGCGGTACCGATTCCTTGGTAAAAACCCTAATCTTCGCCCCGCTCTCCAGGCGGATTTTCTCGACGATCCTCCCACCTTTACCAAGGACACATCCCACGTGACTGCTTGGTGCCAGCAGCCTACAGGAAGCCGTTCCTTGGACCTCCCTGTCCCCGCCTTCCCCTTCCTCCCCCATCACTATCCGTTCAAAAACCCTAACAAGCGCCAGCTGGGCCGGCGAGGTCTCCTGTTCACTATCTACGAAACCCCCTTGCCTCCTCCGGCGTAGAATCGCAGCCGCCACGACGCGGACGATGCGCTCATCGGAACCAGCGACGGGATCTTCAATGAGGACCCGTACACCGGTCTCCTCTCGGATCTGGCGCACAACAGCACCGCCCTTGCCGATCACGCTCCCGGTTTTGTCTGAGGGGCAGAGGAGGCGGAAAACGGTCTCGTAGGCGGCAACGGACTTCGCAGGCGGGCATGAAGGTCCCTGGAGGCTCGTGAAGGCAGGTGCGTTGGAAGAGGAGAGGGAGGGATAGGTAGGTTCTCCGCCTCCAGAGGAAGCCGATGAATCATCGGGTCGCTTGCCCACGGCAGAGGAGCTTTCCTGCCTTTCCATGGCGCTCTCGCGCGCGCGCGCGCGCTCGCGCTCGCGCTCTCGGAACTCGCTCTCTCTAGTTGAATTTGGCCTCCTTTCACCCGATTGATCACAGATCAACACTTCATTTTAGGTGATATTAAAATTTTAATATTTCGTTATTTATCACTTATAAAAAATTTTAATATCAAATATACCATTCTTATATTTCATTCCTACGGATTATACCATACTATAAACTTTAATATTTCATTCCTCACACTCATATTTATTCTATGAGTTGTAGTTATAAAATATTAAAATTTTACATATTAGATATTCAATGGCATGATATAAAATAGTATGTGCGTAAATCCTCCAAAATAACCAGACCTAATAAGACCCACAAATATAACGGTGTTATTGTGTTGACTTGTGACAGGACATCCCAAAATTTAAATGTTCGAGATGTTTCAGAGTTATTCTAGTAAATCATACAACTATGGAGCTTCTAATTGGCTTAACTAAATAGAATAAAATATACTCATCTACAAATTTCTTTTTATTTATCATCAAAATGCATATATAGCATTTACACTATAGTATATGGTTACATAGATCATGGCAAAACACAAAATTAAAGAAAATATATATACAAACTCATACAAATCATATCATGAACTCAACTACTCAGCATGCTCTTTTTCTTTCCTCTGAGCTGAACAGATTGCATTATAGGTTGACATAAACACAGATCATCACATCACACCCACCAATTTAAATTCTCAAACAATTCATCTATTTTGCATTTAATTGAATGAAAAAGCAGTTCACAAGAAATATATTTGATTGAGCAAGATATTAATTGCATGAATATGAAATAAACCAGAATGTGTACTGAAAGTAAATAAGCAAGCTTTTCTTATAAATTATAATACACTAGAAAATAATATATTTATCTCGAGCCTTTATACCTCCCACCATAAACAAATATTAGATTTAAACTCTTATAACACCTTGTACAAGCATATTAGAAAATAGGTCCTTATAACTCTCAATGATTAGCACATATCATATATTCAAAAATTCAGACCCTTATGACTCCATGTGCATTAAACATCATGACAAAACTTTCATCATACATCAAATCTCCTTAGAGTCACAATTCAAGCATATAAGCAAATATATAATCACAATTCAACACATGAAATATAAATAAATTAGTTTACATAAATTTAGTATATTATATCAATGGCCTACAATTTCAACAACTAAGCAACAATTCAATATTTCAAAGAATCGTCAGATTACTTGGGGTTATTTAGAATATTATTTTGAAGTATTGTGTGCACTATAATATTATTTTCTGAGGGTCATAATTATTTTCTAATTAAATAAAAAAATGTACTATACAAATTACCTCATTGAACTTTTCCAAAAAGAATATCTAAATGTCCAAAATTACTAGCTCCACAATATATGAAAAGTTATAAGATGGAAGTTTTGCGAGTATAAAGTTACCCACAATTTTATGATATAAATTTATAAATTTAATCTGAAAAATTCTAAAATTTTCATATTTTTAAAAACTAAGATAGGTGAAATGTAACATATCTCTATTCAGATAACTTTTAGAATTAGGGTGACAACAAAAAATGGATTGGAGTCACCCAACCCCAGCTTTCTCTCTATAAAATTCCTCCTCTCTCTCTCTAACTGGCTACCTCAAAGGGAGAAGATTGATTTTAAAATAATGGAAATGGATATTTAATAAAAAAATAGCCTGTTATCATGGCTCCTAATATTAAACACCACAGTGCTCCTTATAGAAAGATGTTGTGCGACAGTGTCGCACCCTAGCACCGTAACACTGAATTTTTTGGCCAAAAGATGGAGAGTTCAATGATGCAATGCCTCCAATTCTAGCGCCACGATGCCCCGAGGGAAATTTTCATATTTCCAAATCATGTACATTTCTGGTCACTAGGCATTTGCAAGAGGATGTAACTTGATGTACATTTTTTTGCTGATGATATTCTTATTGTCGATAAGACTAGAGAGGAAGTTGAAGGTAAACTTAAATTATGGAGGTCAACCTTTGAGTCTAAATATTTTTGCTTAAGTAGATCTAAAATTGAATATATGGAATGTAATTTTAGTAGCAACAGACCTAGTGAGGGGATTGTTACTTTGGGCGATCAAGTCATTAATAAGAGTACACATTTTAGATATTTTGGATATATTGTTCAGAATGATGGTGAAATAGATTGGGATATTATCAGCAGAATTCAAGTTGGATGGTTGAAGTGGTGGAATGCTTTGGGCTTGTTGTGCGATAGAAAAATCCCCCTCAAACTTAAGCAAAAATTATATAATATGGTGGTGATACATGCAATGCTTTATGGTGTCGAATGTTAGCTATTAAAACATAAGCATAATACTAAGTTATAGCTATTAAAAGATAAGCATAATACTAAGTTAAGTGTTGTTTATATTAGCATGCTTAGGTGGATGAGTGGCTTTACCCATATAGATAGGATACAAAATGAGCATATACGTGAAAAAGGTTGGAGTAGCTGCAGTGGAAGAAAAGATTAGGGACAGTCGCCTTAGATGATTTTGCCACATTAAACGGATGCTTTCTGATGACCCTGTTAGGAAAGTTGAGGTATTAGATTTACTTATGTTAAGAAAGGTAGAGGTAAACTTAAAAATACTTGGTTAAAAAATATTAGAAATGATCTTTCTTTATTATATTTAAATGAGAATTTCATTGTTAACGGGACACAATGGCGAAAAAGGATTCATGTAGCCTACCCCACATAGTGGGACAAAGGCTTGTTGTTATTGTTGTTGTTGCAAATCATGTATGTATACCCTAGAGACTTTATAACAAATTTAGACATTCACATGCATGTAGAACATTCCCAAATACATGAAATGGGTATTAAATACAAAACTTTAGCGAGCTATTTTTAAAGTCAAGTATTTAAAGATGATCAGGTTTTCTGGGATTTAAGGATTTAAATTAAGGAAGCAATGCCTCTTACTTTTCTTCTCTTTTTTTGGAGACGCAGTTTGCGTATCTTTTTGACTTGGTGCACTACGTGCATTTCTTGATTTTTTGTGCATTCGCTCATCGTTTGATTTTTTGAACATTCGCTCATCTTTTGACTTTTGGCGATTTCGCTCATCTTTTGATTTTTGGAGCATTCGCTCATCTTTTGATTTCAATTGAATTCGAGAAGAGGCTTCACTCGTCTTTCATCATTATACCAATCGATTATACATCCAACTTCTTTGAGTTTTGATATTCATAATATAACCTACATATAATATGGATATATTAGTTATTATTGTAACATTTACCGAAGGAAAATAGATTAATTTTTAATTTCACATAAGTCCCTTATCAATTAAAAATCTATAGCCTCTATTTATGTGAAATATAAATAGTCTTAGCATTCTCAGAAGGCTATCATTTTATGTGACCAAATAATCCAAGGTGACTCTATCTAATCTTATCTTCCACTAGAGCTACTCCAACTTTCTCATATATATGTTACTTTATATGTTGTCTATAAGGGTAAATCCACTAGTCATCCACCTGAGCATCCTCATCTCTGTAACACTTAACTTAATATTATGCTTAATTTGAGGGGGACTTTTCTATCATACAACAACACCTACTGCATTCCTCTACTTCCACCATCCAACTTGAATTCTACAGATAATATCCCCATCCATTTCACCATAAATAGATCAAAGATATTAAAAATTGTACTTTTAGTAATGACTTCATCGCCCAAAGTTGTAGTCCCTCAACTAGGTCTATTATTACTAAAATTATACTGTATATATATTAAGTTTTATATCTACTTATGCAAAAAACTTTAGACTATAAGGTTGACCTACATAATTCAAGTTTACGTTCAACTCTCTTTCTACTATTTTCAATGAGAGGAATATCATCAACAAAAAACATACACCAAGGTACATTCTCTTCCAAATGTTTAGTGAGAATATCCATAACTAAAGCAAAAAAGTATACACCAAAATACATTCTCTTGTAAATGTCTAGTGAGAACATTCATAACAAAAGAAAAAAGCATACACCAAGTAAGGTACATTCTCTTGCAAATGTCTAGTGAGAACATCCATAACAAAAGAAAAAAAGCATACACCAAGGTACATTTTCTTGCAAACGACTATTGAGAACATCCATAACTAAAGCAAAAATCATATTCCAATATTCATTTTCTTGTAAATGTCTAGTGAGAACATCTATAGCAAAGGCAAATTAAAAGCATACACCAAGATACATTCTCTTACAAATGTCTAGTGAAAACATCCAAAACAAAATCAAAAGCATACACCATGATTCATTCTCTTGCAAATGTCTAGTGAGAACATCCATGACAAAAGCAAAAACAAAACATTAAGATACATTCTCTTGCAAATGTCTAATGAGAACATTTATAACAAAAGCAAAAAAGCATACACGAAGATACCTTCTAATGCAAATGTCTAGTGAGAACATCCATAATAAAAGCAAAAAGCATACACCAAGATACATTCTCTTAACAATGTCTAGTGAGAACATCCATAACAAAAGCAAAAACATATACACCAAGGTTCATTCTCTTGCAAATGTCTAATGAGAACATACATAATAAAAGTACAAAACATACACCAAAATACATTTAATTATCGGAGGCGAAAACCTACTCTTATTGGAGGCGGTGAGTAGAGGCAACAGATGGCGGAGAACACTGTAAGTTCGACGGTGAAAGTTGGTGAGGGTCCGATCGCATTTAAGCAAGCTCTCGGACGCGAGCAAAGCTACCGATGGAAGAGGGAAATAAATGAGAAGAAAGACGGAGGAGGTGTCGAACTATGGCCCTTTATGTCAATTTTTATGGCGGATTATATGTCGGTCATATTGCCGGCGGATAATACGTTAGTTAGTATTTATCGAGTTTAAGTATGCAGACACAATTTTTGTCGGTAATTTCATCGGAAATAACTAGTAAAATTTGCAC